GTGAGCCCCAGCTGTGGGGTAAATTCCGGCCATGGGGTAAATTCCGGCCATGGGGTGAGCCCCAGCTGTGGGATAAACCCCGGCCATGGGGTAAGTGAGCCCCTGCTGTGGGGTGAATCCCAGCCTGGAGGTGAACCTCAGCCCCGGGGCTGACCCCAGCCGTGAGGGGACCGGGGCTGGAGGGTGGTGCGTGGCCGTGGGGCGAATCCCGGCCTCTCGTGATGGCATCTCGGCCTGGCACTGTGGGTGACCCCCAGCGTGTTTGGGGTGACGGTGCCTTTGGGTGAGGGTACTTTAGGGTTTAGGGTGTTTTGGGGAGATGCTGGTCTCGCCACCTTTTCCCCGTGGTCCGCAGCAGTTCCGTGGGAGGAGGAGGGTGACAGGAGTGCAATAAAACCTGGGCTGCCAGCCCAGGCGTGCTGCTCGCAAATGAAAGCAAGCACTTGAGCACTGAGTTTGGTTCCAGTCTGGGGCTCGCTTGTTAAGCTCCTGTTCAGTGTGGTGGTGGAGGGCTCTGTTGCTCCCAGCCACGCCACATTTTATCTGACCTTCTGGAAATCTTTAGACCAATGGCTTTTATCGGGCCCTTTTGGAAACTTTGAATAGGCTGAGTATTTATTTTGGGGAGGTACAACTTCTCCTGAGTTACCGTGCTGATAAAGATTTTACACGGCCTTGGTTAAGCAGGGAATTTTTTACAATTAAAATGTGATGCTCCCCCACAAAACTCAGAGCTAACCCAGAGGGGCAAACACCCACCCAGGAGTTGTTCATGGTGTGTAGATATGGCTGATAATGAAAATGATGGCAACGTGCTTATTTTTAAAAAGAAAAAAAAATAACACATTATTCCTCACAACCCAGGGAATTCCTAGAATCATTGTATCGTCCTGTATCCTGGTTTGGAGGGCCATAGAGCTCTGGTGAAGGCGGATCACGGCCTGCCAGGGATTTCATTTCTGTGAAAAACAAGGAAATGGTCCTGCCACACATCCCTGTCCCGGAGGGCAGCATCCCTGCACACGGCTGTGGTGCCTCCCAGCAGATCCAGGCTGGCAGGACGCTGAGTTTTGCTTTGTCCCACAGCCTGACCCGGTGTCCTGGACGGAGCCCTGCTCCCTGCCCACCGAGGGAGGTGTTTCCAGCCTGGCTGCAGAATTTGGCTCTGGAGCAGGTGGACAGCGTGCACTGCTGGCACCTCACTGCTCCGTGCTCTGGAACAGTGATCCAGCCTGCAGCATGGGGTCGGCCCACCCGAACACAGCTTGTGTTGGAGCTCCAGCCCAGACACCAGATCTCCTCCTGAGGAGGCTGGAGGTGACTCCAAAAGCTCCGGTGCAGTGTGCCTGTAGGGTTTCACAGAGCAGTGGAAATTCTGCAGTGCTCTGCTGTCTGCTAAACAAACCCTGCTAAACACTTTCAGTTTTGTTCCCTTCTTACTATTAAAAGCGGGGGCTGCTCTGAGTGAGAAATGGAAGGCTGCTCCAGGTGTATTTACCATCCTCTTCCCATCCAGAACCTGTGGGAGCCCCATCACATTTGCAGTGGGAATTCTCTTGTTGGCTCTTCTCTTTCCGTGGGATAAAACTTCCATTCCATGGGAGCATTTTGTTGTTTCCCATTAACAGCCGTGGTTGTGACCAAGTTTAGCTTTCACACCAGTCCAGGGAGAGCAAAAGCCAGAAAGTGATCCCAAGGTATGTGTGTGGACTCTATTA